CCAGCCCTACTTTTACTGGTGATTTTCGGATAGGATTCACTGAATGAGGAACGCGCATTATGGCGCCCCCTCTAGATAATGTACATATACCATCTTGACTGGCACTTGCACCCACAACGTACACGTCGGGAGTAAATACACATTAATCTTCAGTGTTGAGATATATTCAGTGTTGTGTCAAATTTATACAGTAATTAGTTGTAAAATTGCCAAACGAATTGCATGGCCTGAACGTTGTTTGATATTTTTGAATAGTTTATTCAAGGGCAAAGCTCTTGAAGTGTGTACCATCCTTAATGAGGAGCAGTATTCCGATAAGAGTGTGAAATCTGCAGTTCAGTCGGCATATGAATAGGTGCCCGAAAATTATAGACAAAGATTTAAGCTTTGCTAGATTATATACGCACATTTCGGGGACGACTTTCTAAAGCAGCCGAGGTGGCCCCCGAGACATCTTAAGGTGTCCCAGATTGTTATGAACAAGAAGTTTGATATGAAAGTAAACGCCCACCAATTCAGTCGAGGTGACAAAGTCTTAGTAGTAATGCCTTTTGTGCCCACCCTAAGATGATAGGTGTATTGGTGTTGGTGGTCAGAAAATAACCCTTGGGCGTTTTATTTGTCATAATTATATCCACAAACTGCTGTATTCTGAAACCTTATCCAACTTGTCATCTGTGTTGAGCTATTTACGCAACCTTACTCTTTGAAAATAATGCATATGGCCATGCGTTGCAGCCAACACATGTTTCGAGATAATTCCTTTCCAATACGTGATGTGGGACTGATAGAAGCAAAACAGTCTGCAGTGTTTTTTGGTTCTTTGGTTCCCGTCTCTACGCGAACATTGTTGAAGTAGCGTGAAATTATGGTTAGCTTCTCTGAATTCCTTGAGGCCTCGTAGTTTGATATTAGGACTCCGATCTCGCTGTCGAAATTACTGTGTGTGACTGAAATCTCACTGAATTTACAGGTTGCAAAATTCGGACCTATGTAGGGTAGGTTATTCTGAGCTGGCTAGTATCAATATTATTATTGTAATGTATTTTGCAGACCGGTGTGTAATTTATATTACTCCTGCTAATGGTCTACGATTATTGCCTTCACTGTTGCTTCCCGGAATGCGGCATATTTGTGGCCATGTTCGTAATCCCGTTTATAACACCTTGACAATTAAACTGTAAATTTAATACACAAATTATATATGATATTCTTACCACTGGATTTCCATTATGTAATATAGGGAACCATATGTTGCCATCCTGTGTAAACTCCACGTTGAATGATGTGACATACTGTCCATCTTTTCCACCACCTTGTGTCCTAATTTCGGATACCTTAAACGGTACGTGATTGAATAAGTCTATATATTCCGCACGCGAGTCTTGTTCTGGTGACCATGATAAATTACCATCCAGTTGGGCTAGTGGTTCATCAGAGCTGATACTGTCAACTGACGATGACGATGGTACAGCGTTGTAATTGATTACAGTTGGTTCCATATTATCTTGACACGGTACTAAACAATAAAATACATAAAAGGATTTCGTTCACTTGTGGTTCCAAACAAATACTTACATTGCGTATTACAAGCATGAAATTTACGCTTCTTTGTGTATGTTACATTATGTGATATTAAATATACATATTTCATATTGATAATGGTTAATCATCATTTATTATGGTAATTTTAATGAACAGATAGTCACATCTAAACATACCAAGCTGTAAACAAGATCTTTCAACATCAGCCACGCATCTACCGTTAATCCATTTGGTGTACCCTTCATTACACTGGCATGAAATACACTCATCGATCTTTCCACAGGATTCAGATAAATTTGGAGGGTCGGGAGGGCACGTTACGTCACAGTTACACATCTTATGGCAGTCTGTTGATAAAATATATGTATTGAATTGTTGTAAAATAATAGGTGTATATCAAATGAATACGTTAATTAATCAACTGACAACATTCCACTACGTACGTATATATCACAGAATAATTTATTTCTTAAATTCAAAACATAATTCATATTACTAACCAGGTATAGATTCAGTTGTTGAAATATGAGTTGTAATTATCTGAGTCGTCGTTATTTCTGCGGTAGAAGTAAATTCTCCGATTGTTGACTGCGTTGTACTTGACATTATTATAGTTCGATTGGTTGTTGGTTGCGATGCAGTTGAAGGAACAGAAATGGTAGTTTCAGTTGTTTGAGCCTCTGTAAATCGATAAAACAATAAATGTAATAAAAAAACTGTGTGCGCAATCACGTGTAAACATTTATTTACTTGAAACAAACGACTTATTAAGTTAAATCGAGTTTCAGCTGAGCAACATCGTATCAATCTCTAAATTGTGTTGTCAATTATTATTCAGAGATGACGCAATGGCATTACACTTACCACTAAATGTGGACATTCCTTCCGTAGTGGATTTTTCAGTTGTTGTCGCTTCTACGGTGCTTGTCCCGGTAGATGTACTCGTAAGACCATAAGTAGTAGTAGCAGTTTCTGTAGTTGTGCCTTCGGGAGTACTCACTACAGTTGATGTACTTTCTACTACTGTTGGAACTAAATGAAGGTATGTTAAATTGAATTACCCTCACTACATACAATTATTTTAACCAGGTTTGCATTGTTTTCTGGAACAAACACTTACTACATTAATGTACTAACTATTGCTAACTAAGCTATTCATCTCCTATGCACATAATAATTACACATCTGACAAAATTAAATAGTAACAATGAAAGTATACTTATTACATGAAGGACATATGATGAAACTCACCTGATTCAGATGTCGTAGATTCAGTTGCTATTGGAAACAGAATGACGCACTTTAATCACATGACACATATTTATATCAATAAAAAATGTTGTGTTGATTTCAAAGAATTGAGTGTAAATATAACATGCATGTATACTACACAACTTACTTACTTACTTGCGAAGTAAGTGTATCGTGAAGAGTGAAAAGATATGTGTCTTACTTGTCATAACACGTGTGGCTGTGGTGCCTTCTGGTGTTGTCTTCTCAGTAGTTATTACAGTTGTAGATGTTGTACTTGGTACTGATTTGCTTGTAGATAACGATGTGGCTGTTGTTGGTATAGTAGAAGTTATCTCGGTGGTGGTAGTTTCTGTCGTTGTCACTGTAAATTACGGGAAAAATTCAGTCATGTATCAGGCCGTACTCAAAACATACGACACCTTGATTTAGTATAAATGGGGGGATACGCAATGTTAAACGCTGAAAGTAGTGTATATCATTGTATCATCAAATTATCATAGCCACCCATGGAGTCATTGCAGCGTATACGTTTTATGGATGAGGATCTTTGAAATCGTGTGATGCATGAGAAATACTACTCGAAACATTTAA